ATTTGTTTCATTGAATGTGAACCAGGTGAAGCTACAAGATCAAACAGATTTACAGACAAAAGGTTATTTTTATCTCAAATGCAAAATGTGTATACTTTTGTACAATTCTGATGTAATTACTGCTCTGAGAGTGTTGTTCTTTGAGCAAATTGACTCTTTTAGTTTGTATACTCTAGTTAACAATTCGTCAATTACTAAATTAGTTATGATTATTTCAATAATCGATTCAGTAGAATTAATCATTTCAGTCCTAAAAGCCATAGTTTGCAGAAACATCACAAAGCACTAATTGCAAAGGTATCACTCAGGGGAAGAATAGAAAAAAAAATATCACAGTGAAGACAGACATGTAGAAAAGGCAAAAATCTGGGACAGCAGTGACATTACAGAGAGTAGTAGCTGCATTCGAATGTGACAAAAGTCTCCTGTTTTCTCTGCTCAATCAAAAGATTTCAATCTAAAATTTATTTCTCAATCAAACTCGATTTGTTAACCCCATCTCTCTCAAAACTAAATTTAGAGATATATGCTATTATTTAAAATACCTATATTTTCATTATGTCTGTGCTGTGCTTACTGTAACTCTTGATTTTTCCATCCCCTCCAGCAGTCAAGTCTTCCAACCAAACAGCCAAAACAGTGGAGTTGCTGTTCCACACCAGCTCCTTCACCTGAAGACACACATTTTAATAATGATCTCACAATGTTGTCAGCTCAAATATTTATTAATCAGAATTTATTAATGTACTTAATCAGAAGCAAGTCACTGAAGTTTAAACATGCCTTGGCTTGGTCTTTGCTGAACGGTAGTGTGAAGTCTCCGTGAAGCAGTCCGTTCTTCTCCATGAACACAACACTGTGTTTGTTGGGATGTCTCTGAGAGCTGGCAATCAGGCTACCTGAAGGTCTGGAACGACACATGAAGCTGTAAAACTGATGTACAGCTTTGATATTCATGGAGAAGAATAGTTTTTTTTTTTTTTATCTTTACACAACTTTAGATTGAGTATTTTAAAGGAGTTCTCACTTCCAGCACAGTGCCTGCTCCAGGCCGTTGATGGGCTCGCTGGTGGCCTGCAGGACGCCCTCTCTGTTCCAGACTCGGACCTTCCTCGCTCCAGTCTGTGGACAGATGGCGCTGACGGCAAACAGCTGACCATCTCCCCGCCACGTGACTCTGGGTCTGCGGTCGTCCCAGGCCACGGCTGGCTGCACATCCTGCAATGAAACATGTAAATGGGACAGACGTAACATTAGTTCAATCAACTCTCATCTTTAAAGCAGGTCTGAAGTTTGAGTGAATCATCAACAACCTGAATCTTCTTCTGTGCTGCCTGTTTTCCCTCGGAGCCATGAAACTGAGTCTCCTTCTTCCCCCAACCTACTGTGATAAACTTCCCTATAAAACAAACCATGTAGATGTACAGTTTTCAATGAGAAATGTTCAAATCAAACATAATACACAAAACAAGTCATCACTAAAACAAAAGAATAAATAAATAAAACAAGTCATGCACACTAATGATAAATGAGACTAACTTAAATCCAGGCAGATTTTTTTTTTAGCAGAGTTAATCTCTGAACACTCAGAAGTTAATCTGAAGCTGGCATACCTTCACCAAAATCATCTTGGTGGATTCCAACCTCAGTGACCGGCTCAAAATCTTTGGTCATCATGATGATCGTTTCCTGTCCTGTAGACAAAACAGTTGTTTGTTTGTTTATTTATTTATTTATTCAAAGCACCGATAAGTGTTTCTGTGTGAGTATGAATCTTTTAGATATAAGCAATGGAATCTAAAAATACAACAATTTTTCTCAATTTATGCAAACTTTCAAGTTTTCCAGCCCTTTGCAAGATATCTGAAGGTCTCAGCAGTAAAATGTAAGATTTTTTAAGACCTTTAAATGGCAGCTTGACTGAAATTTAAGACTGAGAAACTATAAACATAGAGGAGTCATAAAACCAATGAAGACGCCTGTGTGCAACTCAAACTTTTACTTGACAGAGAAGCCCAACAAGAAGAAAAAATACAAACAAGATTCACTTGTAAGACCTGTGATTAGCATATTTAGACCCAACTTAAATGTTTTAAAATTAATTTAATATATTTTAAGGTCTTAATTTTAGATACATTAATTTAAGGATTTTTTAAGGATGTGTGGTACAACCTGAATCACAGCGTTTTCCAGACTGTGCAGAAACTGATTTTTTCAAAGATTTAGTTTTAGTTTATTTAATCTAAAACAGTCAGACACACACATAACAGTTGTTACAGTCAATCAAAACTCCAACTACAAATAAAAGACATTACAAAAGTCAAGAAAAATAATTCATATGTGTTGTATAAATCAAAAAGCTGGAGACTGAATCAGTTTTTGTGCCTACTCTTATATTTGTTGCAAATAAACCATTTCCCCTCTTCATAGCTTTAGAATAAGAAAAAATAACAGAACACACAAAATAAACAATCAAATCCAGACAAGAAAATGAAAAAGAAACAAAAACCAGAAAGACTAAAAAGGAAGTAAATTGCCATCATATTTCAAATATTCAAGTCCCTTTATAGCTTTTAATCATTCCACACATTAATTTCCTTTTAAACTGTGTTATTCACATGTGACATATCTGTAATATACTGACCAGTTGTGAGAATGACGAGTTCTTCATCAGGACTCCAGCTCATAGACGTAAGACCGCTGTCCACACTACCAACACACTCCAACTGTGGAACATACTGCTGTTTAATCTGCTTCTAACCATAATCCTAAATCACATTAAGCACTGGTCTGAAATAGATGGGTGGAAAAACAAAACACACCTGGCTGGTGTTGAGGTTGAAGAGAACAACGTCTCCGCCTGCTGTGGCCAAACATGCGGACTGAAGCTCAGCGAGGTCCTGCAGTCCCACCACCACTCCACTGCCATCCTCTGGCAGGTAGCCCTCAGCTGTTAACGACGTTTCTCTGACAACCTAAAGAAAAAGAAAAACAGGGAGGAAAATAATCAATCTGATCAAAGAGATTATGCCATTTTAAAATATACAGAAATTAGGAGTACCGCACCTCGCCTGTGTGTGGGTCGAACTCTGTGACTGAGAACTGAGAGGTGATGAGGAGAGAGCCGGTGTCGGACCTCACAGAGAAACACTGAGGAGAACCAGGACCCTGCAGCTCTGAGCTACGAAGGCTCTTCAGCAGCTTCAGATTCCTCATTTTACCTCAAGACAACCTGAAACAACATCAGTGAAACATGTTAAAATCTGAAACATTTGACAGGACAAATCTACTTTCTGATCATCAATCCAAAAATCTGGTGAATCTATTTTCTTCCATTAGTTTATAATTTCATATGTTGCACATGACAAAAATGAACAAAAGTTATGATAATGAAGCTCTTCATCTTCTTCCAACAAGAACCACTAGATAAGAAGAAAAGTACCTGGGAAGCATTAACGTAAATCATGTGTTTGAAATGATGAGAATCAGTTAATTAGTTAGCTAAAAAACAGATCTAACAATCTGTTTAAACGTATTAAGCCAGATTTTATCAACTGTATAAAAAAGGTTACAATCAGAGTCAGTTTAAAGACTAGAAGTTGATTTCTAGTATATAAGTTACAGAGTACAGTTCAGTACAGTAACAACACAAAAAATGTTGAATCCTTTTTCAATGAAAGCCTCTGAAATCTCATAAAATGAAGCCACAAAAACATTCGCTACAACCAAAAAGAGGAAAGTTTATTTCTGTCTCAAAGTCCTATAGCAGCTTAGCGCTCAGCAGTTTCAAAAGAACACCTCTCCGAGCTTTGACAACGGGCTTTTCATAAGTCACTGATAATAAAATAAATACAATTACTAAATAACAAGCTAAAGAATATGTCAAATATTTATTAGGGTCAAGACACGACTCCGTTTACAAGCAAAATACTTTGTGTCCGAAAATGGAACTTGGTGTGTTAGCTTGAGGATTGGATGCAAAATTTAACCTCGCCGAATAAAAACTAGCATCTTTAGCATTTTAATAAATGGAAATACAAGTGTACATCTCACCGAAATGATGTAACTTGGGAAAACCAAGTTCCCGAGTATCCAGCCAACAACACAACAACATACATGTGGTTCTGTCCAACTCTTCCCCTTTCACCCCTGGCTCATTCTGATGAGGCTTCAGTGATGTCGCCCTCTAATGCCTTGGAGTAAAACTACATCACTGAGAGGGGCAGGACAAGTAATATTCTGCAATATTGTTTCGAATAGTAATTTAATATTTTTACTAAAACACAAGCTTTGATTTTACAATCATTTAAGATTATCCTCAGCTGAGAAAATAAGAGGGAAATAAAAAAAATCTCTGTTTAAACAGACTCAAATGATCAATTAAAAAAATCATCTGCAATGCATATTTGCTCATGTTTTTTTTTTTTTTTACAAATACGACTTCTATTTGATAATGGTCTCTCTAGTCTAACTGGGTTTATTCTCAAGCAAGATTAGACTTATTTAAGAAAAGACTTAAAATAAATGAGACGTAGAAAACACAATGCTGCAGTGTGTTGTCTTTTTTGATTAACTGAATCAAGATTTATTTTATGCTATGATCTTAATGCTAAAATTTACACACAGAAAATGCTACCACATTTTTTTACATAATTAAAAATGAGAGAATAATGAACCAATATATAATAAGTAGATATAAATTACTGATAATTAATTTTTAAATAATGGTTTGACATAGGGAAGTGTTTAATGATGAATCATGAATAAAATAGCAATAAGCGACAGACATAGAGCTTTAGACAGTATTTTCCACCTTATTGATTTATTTTATTTATTATTTATTTCGTTTTTTGTCAGACTTAACGTTTTTATTTAATTTCTATATATACCTTTTAATCAAACAGACAGTAGGAGCTACATTGATGAGTTTTCTCTTATTCTGAAACGACACAGGATGTGAAGGTTTGAGCGGACTCTTATTTTGTAAGGAAAATAGGAAGTAGCTTTAGCCAGTTCTTTTTGTGTTTTGACAAGCTGCTTCTGACAACAGGTGGAACGTGGAGAGCCGCAGACATCTGAGCTGGAGTAAATACGCGATGGCAGAAAGATAACAACATGGTAAAACTCTTTTCTTCATATTTTCTGTTATTTCAGCATTATTTTTGCTTGAAGGTGAGGCAGCAGACGGATCGTGGCGTTCCTCAGCCCTCACCGAAACGGAGCGTTTAGCGTTTTATTGCTCTTTGCGCGTTGCGTTAATGTTATTGTGGGGATTTTTAAAGGGCCACTAAAAAGTCTGTGCTCCGTGCTCCGTGGAAGTGGAAAACTTTGACATTTTACGACACTGTGATGTTTCTGTTCGTGTCTTCTCTCACTTAAAGTTATTTTTAAATAATTGTAAGTGAACGAGCTATACAATCTAATGAAATAACGGACATTTTGACTGGTTACCGAAATATATTTTCTTATAAGCTGTTTCAACTGATATTTTTATGATAGTTTTTTCTTTTTTCGTAAATAATCTTAGTTCGTTATTACAATTTACCATTGTTTCATAAATGTACAATTCCTGGTTGTTCAGGTTGTAGACAAAAAGATTAGATTTGTTTTGCCTTTGTGATTTTTGTTTCTCTTCAATCCTTTAAATGCTAAGTTCTTCCTTGTGTTGTTCTTGGTTTTCAAGGCCAAACAGAAATGACAGAAAAACAAATAGTCATTTGAAGCTAATCACACATATGTATTATGTGTTATTATAGTGCCTACTGTCATTGTGGATTCTGTTGTCTACAATTGAAGTCTAAATGTAGGCTACGTAAGTTGTTTAGTGCTTTGCTCTTGAATCTTTTACACATCTTGTCATCATAAATCCACAATTGTCATTTTTGTTGGGAATTATTGTCATAAAGCAGTACCAGGGGTGAAAGTAGTTTTAAATTCTTGGGGGTACTATG